TTTGGGGCCATTTTGGGTCATTTTGGGGCCGTTTTTGTTCGGGTTTGAACAGGTTTGAACTGGTTTGGGCTGGTTTGGACTGGTTTGGACTGGTTTAGACTGGTTTAGACTGGTTTGGGTTGGTTCCGGCTGGTTTGGGCCGGTTTGAACACATTATGCAAATTAATGCAAATGATCCGAACCCACACCACCGCATTAAAACCAGGAATGTTTATTAGCATTATGCAAATTTAGGCAAATGAGAGCCGAGTCCTCCCTCCCCTCCTTCCATTCCAGGCCCCGAGAGGGGCGAGGCTTCGACCAATCAGAGCCGGGCGGAGATAATTTATGCAAATCCATGCGAACGCAGCCGAGGGGGCGGGAATCGATATGCAAATTTATGGTAATGAGCCGCGCTGCTCCTCCCACTGCTCCGGCGTCAGCGTCCGCTGCTCCAGGGCGTGGATCCGGCCCAGCTCCTCCTTCAGCGCCTCGTTAACGAGCCTGACGTTAATTAGCCGCTAATTAACCCCGTTAATTAACCTCGTTAATTAACCCTCCCTTCAGCGCCTTGTTAACGAGCCTGATGTTAATTAGCCGCTAATTAACCTCGTTAATTAACCTCGTTAATGAACCCTCCCTTCAGCGCCTTGTTAACGAGCCTGACGTTAATTAGCAGCTAATTAACCCCATTAATTAACCCTCCCTTCAGCCTCTCGTTAACGAGCCTGCTGGTAATTAGCCGCTAATTAACCTCGTTTATTAACCCTCCTTCAGCGCCTTGTTAACGCCGCTAATTAACCTCGTTAATTAACCCTCCCTTCAGCGCCTCGTTAACGAGCCTGCCGGTAATTAGCCGCTGATTAACCTCGTTAATTATCCCTGCCCTCAGCGCCTCGTTAACGAGCCTGCCGGTAATTAGCCGCTGATTAACCCCGTTAATTAACCCTTGGCAGGCCCCACCTCCTATCAAACCCCTCCTATCCCATAAAGCCTTGCCCCATTTAAGCCCCGCCCCTTTGGCCACGCCTATT